CGATCCCCCCTTCGTGATTGCTTTTGATATTGAGTTTTATTTACTAGAGTTGAAGACGATGTACCGGCCGTTATATGATACTGATTTCGTTGAGTTACTCTGGCGCTTAGTCGCGATCCAGGATTGCGGATCATCTGCAGAATTGCTGTACGTTTTAACTGCCATTGATTCGGAAGCGATGGGAAGCATTGTCAACAAGGCGCAGACCACCGACTTTGTTTGGCAGGTTGTGTCCAATTTGCTATCTGCCAAGAATGTGGGGACGGTAAATTACGTGTGCGAAACCATCCGCATTTTGATGGTCGGTTCCAACTTCGCACACGTGTGTTTCGAGGACGGGCACTTGAGGAAAATTCTCAAATTGATCCTACACGACTCTATTGGCATCCATGGCTCTATTGGCATCCATGACTCTATTGGCGTTAATAACCGGACTGACTTGCCCGAGGGCGACGAGGTGCTGTTTGCTGCTTCGGAAGGGTGGGCAGAAGAGCATTCGCAGAGGACGTCGGAACGGTTGAAGCAGGTCTTGAATACGAAGGCATTGATCCTGTCGTTGTTGCGGGACGCAGTGCAGGCGTATCCTTCCCGGACGGCTGCGGCTTTGGCAGAGGACCTAAGTAGCGACGGGGAGTCTGTGATAGACGATGTCTGTGTTCCGGATGTACAAGAGGACTTGGCCTCCACTCCGGATGGCTTGGCCCGTGGGCCACGCGTGGTGGACGAGGAGGCCGACCACGAGTTGGCGTCGGCTGCCCGTTCGTCCTCCGGGTGTGACCGTTTCGAAAGCCGATTGTCATCGGGCAACCCGCTAATATCAAGTCGAGTAATCGGTGATCCGGTGGCGGGGACGGAGCGGTCGTTTACGACACGGTTGGCACGGATGGCGGCATTTTACTATCGGAGAGCGAAGGCGTTACGATTGGGTGTGTCTGCCTCAGGTTTTCTATCTCAGGCAGTGAAATTTGTGAGACAGGTGGAGGTGGAGAATCCAGCAGGTCATGGTAGTCTGGCAATAGAGGTGTTTGTTGGGCTGTTGGCCACGCCGGGAGAGTGCTTCCGTTCTGAAAGTAACGCAATGGAAGCTGCGATTTTGGGTCTTGTACGTATGCTCAATTTCAAAGCTGGTCGCTGCAAACAGACCGCGGCAACTCTCAAGCACATTGTCAGTCGCAATCGCGAACTCATCCACGAACTGCACCGCTTCTATTCACAGGAGCAAGGTCTTTCCATCTTCCAGGACTGGCTACCGCCACTCGATTCGCCCTGCCGAGATGGAACCGGCGGCAGACCAAGTCTTGGCAACAAGAACCACGTGGGTACCGGTAGTGGCGACCGACCGTGCGGCGTAGACATCTTTCCCGTCGAAGATTTTCGAGGAGCCGAAGACGTTCTAGTTGTCGAAGATTCAGCCACGGATGACTCCGGTCGTGAGCCGACATTGGGCCCCATGGGGGCGACGCCTTTACGCAACCTCGCGTCGGCACCACCGTCCGCAACGAAACGGAACCGACAGGTCGCCTGTTCGAATCACGCCTCGTCCGCGGCCTCGACACAAAACACAAAAAGACTTCGCAGCGACTCAATCGTCGCACTCCTAGGCGCCACAAACAACGCCGCCGACAAACCGACAAGTAAACTGCCCGACGACTTATTCACTCTCCGGCAACGGAAACACTCCTCCATCCGAAAATCAGTACCTGAACCCTCCGTAACTCTGCCACTAACGATACGCTTGCGGTAAACATACGCTACAGGGCGACGACTTGATGGTGACGGCCGCATCCTGTGACGGCCGCATCCTGTGACGGCCGCATCCTGTGACGGCCGCATCCTGTGACGGCCGCAATCTCGTAGCACCCTATGGCAGTCGCACAAGTGGCACCGGGGGGGGGTGCGGACAGGTGCATTGATTAGGTGCACATATATGGGGAGGAAGTTGAGAGGGAGTTTTAATGGATTAAGCTACACGATACATCCACCGTTTCGAGGACGGGGTCGCACGAGTGGTGCTGGTTCTGAAAGCATAAGTGAGTTGCTTCGTCAAGATATGGCCAACAACAGCGGAGGGTCGACCACTAGTGGAGGGTCGACCACTAGTGGAGGGTCAACTTCGAGCGGCAGTCCGGCGTCTGTGGGTGGTTGTGGTAACTGCAGTGTGAATCGTCGCAGAGGACACAGTTTGAACTGCCGGGATTTGTTTTTTCGAGGAGTCGTAGGTGCATCCTTTCCGGAGAAATTGGGAAGAGGAAACAAATGTGGCAAGACCAGAACGCCTTCAGGATTCGGCAGCACTGACAGCGAAGACAGCTTTTCTCTACGGTCTCTATTACAGGGTAGTTTTGGCACAAAGATTACTACAGGGCCAAACAGAATCTCCAACGACAACCCGGTCTCCACCACTCAAGACAACGATCCTGATATCGATTCTGATATGAAGGATCACACCACCCTGGACTCTATGATTACCGACAATACGACACACATAGTCGACCATGATGACCTTCTGAGGTCAGCACCCGCAACGAGCTCCACACTAGCTGTCAGTTCAGTCCTGCCACAACAACCCATGCAATCAGCAACAGGCAGGGACCAAACCAAACTCTGGAACACCGCCAAAGACATTAACACCATCTCCGCATCAGCAACTAACTCTGGTGGTCTTATCGTAAAGGCGGGAAAAATTGTATATGCAGTTAAACCTTCTCCGCAACGATGGGAAGAAGTATGCCCCCCTCCCCCTCACTCACCCTTCCTAAACTGTGTCTTGTGCACCCTTCCTAAACTGTGTGCTATCTTATTATATAATAAAAGCAACGTACGTGTCTTCAGATCCTGAAAACAATCCAGTTGCGTGATGAGTTTGATCCAAACATTGAGTACTGGTGGGAAAGACGACGAAACTGTGGTCCAATTCGGCCTGTAACGTATCGCTGGATAGCATCATAACTCAAGTACGGTCATCCCGGACTCGCAGACCGACCGCATGCATGCACAGGCCTTGAGAGATGCCCAAAACGAGCTTGGGAAAAGAGCTAGCTTCCGGGATTTGAAAGGGTCTCCGAAAAGGCAGTTTTTACACCAGTTTGATTTTTCTTCACTGTGTTCGTTCGTTTCTCCCTTCGATTGGTTCCCCCTGGAGAGGTACCCTAAACTGCTTCCACCATACCGGTTGTTTCGACCATACCGGTTGTTTCGACCATACCGGTTTCGGTGCATTCACTTTTTCATCCCTTTGTGGCTTGAAGTGGTGGAGGTGTGATTTCCCTTGCTGAAAGCAGCCATCCTGTCCTTAAGCGAAGAAGGTTTGCTCGGCGTAGTGGAAGCCGTAGACGACTTGGTTGAATCCGGACTAACGGTAGCCGTAGTCACCTTTCCTTCTTTAGTAAATGTTGGTTTCGAGGACACCTTGCTTGCTTCGCCGGGCAGTCGTGTAGATCTTCCCTGTGAGACCAAGCCTTTCCTAGACCCGCCTTTCTTGTCAACCGTCCGGTCGTCGCCGCGCATCCCACCACCGCCCGTAGCACAGTTGGGCTTATCCTGATCAGGCCTACCCTGATCAGGCTTGCCTTCATCAGGCTTGCCTTCACCAGGCTTGCCTTCACCAGGCTTACCACGACCGACTTTGCCGTCTGCGTTCCCCGTTCTGGAATCAACACCGCCGCCGGGAACTGAGTCGACCGCGTCCCCTTTACGGTTCAGACCAAGGCTGGCTTCGGCTCCGGGATACACTGCTCTGAGTAAGGACCCGTACAGGTCGTGTATGGCGTGGATTGTGGAGGAAATGGCCGGTCGCTCGAACAAGATGGATTCGTCCACGGTGGTACGATAAGGTTTGTAGACGCCGGCGTGGATGTCTATCGTGAGCGGGAACCCCAGGTGGTGGGGAAAATACCACTGCTTCTCGAACGACTCTCTCTTGGACAGCCATGTGGTACATGAACCCACTCTCGGCGTGACGGACTTGTAACTGGACCAGTCAAACGCTGCCGGATACAAAGACTCCTCTACCTGCTTCGTAGCGGACTCTGGAGCCTTCGCCGCCTGACCCGTGGCGGTCTGCACTCCACCGTCGGGCTTACCAGCTGCGTTGGGCTTACCAGCTACGCTGGGTTTGCCACTTGAACCGGGTTTACCAACTGCGCCAAGCTTACCAGCTGCGCCGGACTTGCCACCTGCGCCGGACTTGCCACCTGCGCCGGACTTGCCACCTGCGCCGGACTTGCCACCTGCGCCGGACTTGCCACCTGCGCCGGGCTTACCGCCTGCGCCGGGTCTCAACGTCATTGTAGAACCGGCGACAGTCGTCATACTCAGCACCAAAACTGCACTGTTGCATGCGGCACGTGCTCCGAGGAGCAAACGCATTGCCGACGCCCAGCAACTGTCGCTCAATCACAGTCCTCTACCGCAGGACGGCCTACACTGGAGGCCGTAAGCCTACACTGGAGGCAGGGCCGGGTCGCCTGCAGAGATGCCCAGCCTATAGGGACTTCGTCCGTAAAGAATTTATAGCACCTGTCTGAGCTCAGTTCTACTGAGGAGAGAATGAGAGGAAGATATTATTCCGTAAATTGGGGATGCCCCGAACTCGTTCAGGCTGCTTCTGACTCATGGACTCATTTTGGGCATTCCATTGATCGCTGTCATTATAGCCGGTCCAGTGACTGTGGGTACCGGCTTGTTTTTGAGCGTCAGTCAGCCAGTGGCAGTTTGAGTTCGGACTCCACGTCGTCTTCTCCGCCCAGGGGAAAGGAGCATCGGCGCCTCCCCGGCTTTGTTGGCCGCCCCGGCTTTGTTGGCCGCCCCGGCTTTGTTGGCCTCCCCGGCCTTGTAGGCCTCCCCGGCCTTGTAGGCCTCCCCGGCCTTGTAGGCCTCCCCGGTCTTGTAGGCCTCCCCGGTCCTGTAGGCCTCCCCGGTCCTGTAGGCCGGCACCGGAAGACGATTGATTCGGGTATCCTTGATGGTGCGAAAGATCCGGTTCGCTGCTGCCCGCTCCCACAGACTCGTTGAGAAGGTTCACCAATTCGAGATCCAAATCGGCGGTGGCTGGGAGCTTACGCGAATACGGCAATCGTTGGTCCCGAGTCCCCCGGTTTGGCTTTACAGGGCCATATGCTTCTGCCGTGGGATACTCCGGCTCATTATACTCCGGTTTTATATGCCCTAGTCCCAAGTATCCTGGCTCCGCGTACTGTGGCTTAATGTACGAGCCAGGGCCAGGGTAGTCCGAGCCCGGGTAGTCCGAGCCCGGGTACCCCTGCCCTGCAAGGGCAGATCCGGTGTAAGCAGGGTCCTCGTACGTTGTTCCGGTCGCCTGTGGAGGACCGGTCTGCGGCACCGTCGAGGCGAAATGACCGGCTGCCTGACCAGGGCCTCTAATGAATCCGGGTAGTGCCTGTGCTGCGTGGGAGGGTTGACTAAGAGCAGCGGGTGGTGCAGAGAGCGACTGCTTGCGGCCGCGGGGGCCATTGAAAGAGTGCCTTCTACGGCGCGTTCCTGTGGCGTCGGTATTGGAACCGGGTAGAGCGAGTCCTCCCAACCCGTGTCCCCCTGGCCCGAGTCCAAGCCCGTGTCCGACGGCATTGTTAGTGGCATTACCAGTGATATTACCGGTGGTGATATTACCAGTGGTGATATTACCAGTGGTGATATTACCAGTGGCGGCGATATTACCAGTGGCGGCGATATTACCAGTGGCGGCGATATTACCAGTGGTGATATTACCATTACCGTCTTTGGTTCGTCCTGTTCGAGTGACAGCACGTTCTGGTTGCTTGACAGCTTGAGAGGCGAGTTGAGGGAAGGCGACATCGATAGGTACATACTTTAATTTGGCGGCATCAAGAACTGCTGCTAATGGCGGTTCATGTTTAGCAAGGGGACTTCTGCGCATTCCGGGAATGGGTCCAAAGGCACGAGTAAATCCGACTACCCAAGAATGCTTGGCGAATTTGTAGACACCACCCACATTCTCAGCACGCATGTTCTCTTCCATCAAACCACGGAAGTCACTATCAGCAGAGAACAAACAGATTGTTTCCACACGCGGATTAAAACAAGCCTTTGTTACTTCCGAACCCAAAGCCACGTCACAACCTCTTTGAATAGTACGTCCCTTCTGCATCTTGTATTCATATAATCGTAAAGATACATCACGACCGCCAGCACGTAATGATCGTAGACGATTCGGTACTGAGTAGTTATTCACATTGGAACTCTGCAATAGAGATGTCACCTATCAAAACCTTCAACACACGCAACCAGTGAACCATGTAATCACTGAACCATGTAACCGGTGAGCCATGTAACCGGTGAGCCATGTAACCAGTGAGCCATGAGCTTGAACGCCGGGGTGGAGCTGGAACGCCGGGGTGGAGCTGGAACGCCGGGGTGGAGCATGAGCCGAGCTGGAGACATAGCACCCAGCTGGAGCGCATGCCTCTGAGCGCTTGCCTCTGAGCGCATGCCTCTGAGCGCAACGACAATCAACCTATCCCATCAACCCCTTTCACTCCACTCTAGTTTTTCATCCTTAGCATCGCCTGTCGAACACACGCTTGCCATGGCTCAGAATCCCCCACCTGGTTGCCCCGAGGGATACCGACCCTTGGAAGAGACCGTGGAGCCGGAAGGCGGCCGGTCCTTGGAACCCGGCGTCCTTGAAGCCACATAGCCGACCAACAATCAAATCTGGAGTGCCAAGACCGAGTCCACAGAAAACCGAGAATGTCAACAACGATGCTCGGATAATCAACCCGAGCGAGCTAATGGCGGTGCTTTCCAACGGCCTGGCTGGTTCGTGGGATTGCAGTTGATTATTCGGGGGACAGGCGGTTACTTCTTCGGCGAGGAAAAGCAGTCGGGCAACAGCTATTCCTCCAGACGGCGAGGGCTGCCCAAGCGGTCGCTTCGAAAGCACTTTCGTCCGGTTGTTTACCGCCACTAGGTCAGCACCAGTCGGCCACCGCTATTAGGCTCCCCACCACCATTAGGTGATAGCCGTTTGGTAACGGCCGCGGTTTGGTTACCGCCGCGGTTCGGTTACCGCCGCGGTTCGGTTAAGCTAGTCGGTTGCGCCGTTCTCGCGGCTGCACTCCCCATTGGATTGTGTAGTCTCCACTGTGTAGTCTCCACTGTGTTGTGATGCTTCCATTGGGTTGGGCTTGGATTGGGTTGGGTAGTGTGTGTGGCTGGGTTCACTTACCTTAGGTGGTTGTACGATTTGACAGTCTTCGTCCTGGTGTTGTTTGACGTGTATGACTTGGAGATCGTCGTCGCTGGCGTCGATTTCGTTTCCGTCAAGATTCTGTAGCTCATGTGACGCGGGTCGTTCATCTGCGGGTCGTTCATCTTCTTCATCATCATCATCATCATCATCATCGGTGAGGGCCTCAACCTCACCAGAGGCAAGTACTTGTTGTGCGGCCTCAAGGAGGCGTTGTCGTCGATTTCGAGCTATAATGTGTTTCGAACGTTTGTTTGCAGATTCTGAGCAGTGTTGCATGTCTGAACGTAGTGCGTTAATTAGAAAGTTAAATGAGGCGATTTCGCGGCTGAGAATTTGGGCGGGTGCCATCGGATCACCGTTTGTTGCGGCGAGTTCCTGGGGCAGAATAGAGAGCCAATAATTGTCTGCTTGAAGGTCGGTGATTTCAGAGGGACGGGTAGTGTGGTGCTTAGAAATCTGCAGCTTAATCAGATGTCTCCTGTACGCGACGGGATCAGTTGCGAAGACTACGATATGAGATATCCTCGTAGACATCAGCTGTTCTACCAGACTGCATAAAAGGCACAAATCAGTGTACTGAAAAGCTGCCGTATACTCGCGGTCCCAACTTATCCGGATATTCTCCAAGTCAATCAGCGCGACACACTCTCGCTCACTCTCCAAATCAATTGGAGCAATCGTCGTCATTATATACACACGCGAGCGGAAAAAAAAAACCCCTCAAATCCCGCAATGATTGACACGCACGTGCGCTTACTGCACCACACACAATTTCGACACATAGTTGGCGCCAACTATGTCATGACAGCTACCTTACATCATAACTAATGCCACAGAGCAACGCATTTAACCATATTGATTGACCAGCTAGCCAACACGACGCGGCCGCCAGGTTTTTTTACTTCACCAGGTCCGTTCAAACAACATGGTAAGACGCCACTGAGGTTATGCTAAGAGGGGGTTATGCCCGAGGGGCTATACAGGAGGGGCTATACAGGAGGGGAGTGGCGCAGCTAGCTACCGGTTGTGGACACATCGCGTGTGGCAAACACATCGCGTGTGGCAAACACATCGCGTGTGGCAAACACATCACATGCGGCAAATATGTGTAGTGGAACATGCTGTCGCAAAGCTTCTTATCTGGCAATGGTCCGTTTGGTGGTGGTGGTGGTCCGTTTGGTGGTGGTGGTGGTCCGTTTGGTGGTGGTGGTGGTCCGTTTGGTGGCAATGGTCCGCCACCTCCGTTTAGTGGAAATGCCGGGGGTGTTTTGTTCCAGCGTTATTACGAGGCATATAGTTCAGTACGTTGTGCTCGTCGTGACCTGGATGTAGGGAACAAGATATTATTACCATCATCTGCTTTAAGCGCACTGGCAACTCAGGAAGTTGTGTGGCCAATGTTATTTGAGTTATCGAACACTGATAAAAACAAGAACACACATTGTGGGGTGTTAGAGTTCAGTGCTGAGGAGAATAATTGTTATTTACCGCCATGGATGATGAGGAATTTGCAATTGGATGATGGTGATTTATTGCGTGTGACTAATGTGTCACTACCTAAGGGTAATTTCGTTAAAATCCAACCTGTTACTTCTGACTTCCTTAATCTTACCAATCATCGCGCTGTTCTTGAGAATTCGCTTAGTCATTATGCTTGCGTGTCAATTGGCGATCGTATACAAATACGACATGATGATGTAGACTATGCCGTTGACATACTTGATACTAAACCTGCACCTGCAATCAGCGTTATCGAAACAGATATTGAAGTCGACTTCGAAGCTCCCAAAGATTATGTAGAACCAAAACCAAAACCACAGACACCACCCCAAGAGGAGGAAGCAGAAGAAGATGAAGAAGACGAATTCCACCCATTCAAAGGTGGCGGCTGGAGGGTAGATGGGCAAGCCGTCGAACAACACAACGTACGTCACCAACACCACCCCCGACACTAACCTAACACCCCAATATCCCTGCCCAACACCCGGGGAGGAGGAGGAACCCGGGGAGGAGGAGGAACCCGGGGAGGAGGAGGAACCCGGGGAGGAGGAGGAACCCGGGGAGGAGGAGGAAGGGGGAAAGGTCAGGCAGGGGGAACACTCGTGCGTCCTGTGTTCTTTCGCACGCGCCTGTTTGCCCTGATGATAGATAACCCTTCGAATTCAAAAGAAGCTGACACGCACGAAGGTTTACAAAGTTTATATTGTGCAGGCGACGACGGATGGCCCCGGAACGGACTGTTTGGAGCCGTGGCTCGAGGCCATTCCAGGCGGCGTGCGACGCTACAACGAGCGGTACCAGCAACGCGTGAAGCGCGCTCCGCCGCCCGTCTCGCTCTTCCAAGGAGCCGGCGCTACACTGGGAGACTGACGAGACGAGTCGGTGCTCGACCCGTAGCCATGCTCGACCCGTAGCGAATGTTTGACCCGTAGCCATGTTTGACCCGTAGCGAATGTTTGACAGGCAGGCCAATGCTTAACCACATAGGTATCCAAAAGGGGTGGTGATACAAGCAGCCCAAGACTCCATCCAAGACCGCGAAAACCCAAGGGGATCGCAGCCGGGGTCCTTGCCCGGGACGTGCGCAGTAAATAGTCAAACAGCACCCTTACCACTCACACTCCTCGGTCGTAGCTAAGCACTTCTCGGTCGTAGCTAAACGCTCCTCGGTCGTAGCCAAGCACTCCTCGGTCGTAGCTAAGCACTCCTGGGTCCACTGAGAGCGGGCGGGAGTTGATAGCCGGGCTGAAGCAGTCTTGCTTCAGCAGCCGTAGTCGCAATCGTGACGAAAGTGCCTGGCTCGTGCTGCCCGAGACGATTGACAACTCCGTTCGGCTCCCACAGCTCGTGGCCTTGGGCGACTTGGGTCTAGGTGGTGGTGGTTCAGTCTAAGTAGTCGCTGGGTTCGGGTTCAGGTAGTCGCTCGGGCAGGTCGTCCTTCCACGCAGGTCGTCGCTCCGGCCCGGTGACGGTTGGGGCGATCGTTGAGGTAGTGGGTTGGTCGGTACCTACACAAAGTAGTCGCTCAGCTTGCTTTCTCGTTGAAAGAGTCTGGATCCAGCCCCATGCTGTCCCGTAGCCCAAATGGCGGGCAAAGTAGCCAACGACGACTGGTCCTGGGTCGCACAGGCGGACCCCGGCTGGCGGTAGCAACGATTGGCTAGCCTCCGCAGCCTCGTCTTTTCTACGGCAGTACTTATGGGCGAACGGAAACCAAAACATCCTAAACCGCCGCCTGTTACGAGACCGCCGCTTGTTGCGGGACCGCCGCCTGTTACGGGACCGCCGCCTGTTACGGGACCGCTACGTACCGGACCGCCGAGAGCCGGACAGCCGTCGCCTGCGGCCGCCACAGTCGAGGCCAGGGTCGCTCGACGTAGGTCCCCGCCCAACTTCTGACTCAGTTTCGGCCGGGCCTTGCGGACCGCACTAGGCGGACCTTGCTTGGGTCCGGGCCCCGTCGGCTTCGACGCCGCCGGACTGTTGCTTGGGGGCAGCAGCCTCTGCTCTGGCGGTGCGCGTTGGTCGAGAGCGCGCACGAGGCGTCTGTAGAGCTCGCGACGACTGGAGGAAGGAGGCGACGCCGCTTCGACACGGCCACCTGGGGACCGTCCCAGACTGCCGTTCCTTTCCTGCTCACTCAGACCGTGACCTTGCTCGCTCAGACCGTGCCCCTGCTCGCTGAGGCCGTGCCATTGCTCGCTCAGACCGTGACCTTGCTCACTCAGACCCTGGCCTTGCTCGGTCAAGTCGTGTCTTTGCCCTGATTGGGTCGCTCCGCGCCCTTGCCTTGACAGCCCCTCCGGACTGGCGTAGACGAGGCGACGGACGAATTGAGCTTTGCGCGCAACCTCCGCAGCACGGAGCGGCGGTGGCGTTCGGAGGACGGCGATTTCGTGAGCCATGAGGAGATCCTCGAGTACGCCACGACGGTTCACATCGCGCGGTCGACCCTGCGCCGTCACGAGAGGAATTCCCGATACCGCGCTGACCGTCCCGCACGCAATTGCTCCGGCGCGCGGGGGGCCTACGCGGTCCAGCGGCTGTTGCCCGGTCACACGTAGTCCACCGTACCGTTTCCGGAACCGCACATCGCGAACCACCGCCTCCTCCGGTACCGTGCCCGGCGCTAGGATCGAGCTGGAAGCAAAGCTGGGAATCGAACCGGGGACGGAGCGGTTACCAGAACCGGGACCAGCCAAACTGGGAGGCAACACCCAGTCGGAAGTCACGGGGCAAGGGGAGCTCGAAGACAGTACACCACAGCGTAAATACGCTTCCAACTCAACACTAGATTGCCGCACACTTTGCTCGTAACCTCTGGGGTCGTAGCCATTGGAGTCGGTGCCTGAATTCCTGGGGACTAAGGAGGAAGACAGTGCCCACAACGAAGGCAATGCACTGGTAGCGGGCAAGGCGCTGGTAGCGGGCAAGGCGCTGGTGGCGGTCAAGGCGCTGGTAGCGGGCACTGCGCTGCCCGTTTGGCCGGGGGCCAGTGGGGTGCTTTGCTCCCTCTTACCGGTCTCTACGTCAACTTCCGAGGCGACTTGCGCAGCAACAGGTTCCAAGACAACTGACGTGAGCAGGTCCTGCTCAGGGTATGACGCAAAAACACCACTACTTCTCAAACTGTTACTTGCACTGATCTTTCGCTCGGTTTCTGAGCCAGCAGACGCATGCAGCACACCTTCAGCCATGCCGTTCCAGAGCGCGTCTCCAACAGTCCCTAGCGCCTGAGGTTGGTCACACTGACGTTGGTGATGCTGAGTCCGGGTAGAGTCCGGGACGTGGGTGCCTGAGTTGCAGGAGCCTGCCGTGGTGCTTGAGCAGTCGCCGGTTTCGGATTCAGTGCGGTTGATTGAATCTTTGCCGTCCGTAGCGAACATGGCTTGTAAAGCCTGTGCACAAGCTTCGGTTAATCTCCCGGTTTCGACGGCGAACGTCACGAGGTCCAACACGTACTGCCGGTTGGCTGCCGGGTCGCGCTCCTCGGCGCGACGTGTTCGGCGCAAGATAAAAAGGTTCGCCGCGTCGGGGCACCTCGGCGCCTCGCAACGCCGCCGCGGCCCTTCTCGAAGCATGGGGTGCAGGCTACGCACACGGATGACTTGCACAGCAGAACTTGTACAAACAAACACGCGTGTGTCGCAAGACGGAGCAGCCGGAAAGCTGAGCCGCCAGCCGGTGTTTTTTAAATCGAAGACAAAACACCGCACCACCCCGTGTGCGTCACACTCCAACAACTCCCTCCACCCTCCACCCTCCACCCTCCACCCCTCCGCATAAGCCACCGCGACATATCCACCGCGACATATCCACCGCGACATATCGGGCAGCAGGGTGAATTCTTTGAGTGGCGGGTTATTGTTAGGGGGATGAATTCTATGTTGTTGTTGTTGTTTACTAAAAATGTCAGCAACTTCGGTGAGGGGTGTTGAGAGCCCGCTATCGGTGCGGAGGCGTGTGTTGGTGATAATAACGGGTGGTACGATCTGTATGCGTCCGTCTGCGGAGGAGGGTGTGACGATGTCTGATTTATCATGTACACCGTTGGAGTGTCAGTTGCGTAGTTTGCCTGAGTTACAAGGAGCATCACTGCCATCGTTTGATGTGGTGGAATGGGAGGTATTATTAGACAGCAGTGATGTAGCATTGGAGCATTGGTGTCGATTGGTGGGTACAATAAGTGCGAATTATGATAAGTATGACGGATTTGTTGTATTGCATGGTACAGACACACTGTCATTTACGGCTTGCGCTTTAAGTTTTATGTTGGAGAATTTGAGCAAGACGGTTGTTGTAACAGGTGCTATGTTGCCAGTATCGCATATTAACACGGATGCTAAGCGTAATGTTGCTGTTAGTTTATTAGTGGCAGGTTACAGTGGTGCATGTGAGGTGTTGGTATGTTTTGGAACTCGTATATTAAGAGGCAATCGTGTTGTTAAGATGAATTGTAATATAATGGATGCATTTGATACACCTAATTGTAGTCATCTTGGTCAGATTGGTATTGATATTACGTTGGATCATAATTATTTACGTCCTCAACCAAAACAATATATGACGCCATTTACTAATATGCTCATTAATAATGTAGTTGTGTTAAGATTAACACCACAATTCGATCCTATGATCATTCGACAATTAGCCGTAACCGAATGCGACCCATTTGGAATAATTCTAGAACTATTCGGAACTGGTACCGCTCCATCCAACGAACGCTTTATCAAGGCAATACTATTCGCTATCACCTCTGGTGTTACCGTCGTCGCACTTACACAATGTCCTAGCGGTACCTGCTCACTTCAAACGTATGCCAACGGTAATTATCTACATAAACTCGGCGTCATTGAAGGCAAAGATATCACTACTGAAGCAGCATTTACCAAACTAGCATACCTATTCGGTAAAGGATTCAAAGACGAAGAACTTAGAGCTATGATGGAACAAGACCTACGCGGAGAACTGCACTCGCACACACACAAAATTACTGGACAAGCAACTCTAAATCCGACCCTAGAAACTGTACCATTAGAAGATAATAAACATTGCCAACTCAGCGTCGCACACTGCCAACGACTCAACGAAAAAAAATACGAAGCATAGTTACTCGGCTTGCCACACAGTCGGCATCATCCACAAGGTGCCGGCATCATAGGCAAGACCTTTGTGAAGATGGGGTAGCTAGTTAGGTGTCCTACCACACGCGTGTCCTCCCACACGCGTGTCCTCCCACACGCGTGTCCTATTTTTTTTTTGAGAGGACCTCTTGTACTGCGTACAGGGTTTCCCTTACTAGGGCACTTCCACGTTCGTCAGTGAGCCTGACAGGGAGCCTGGTGGAGGGCAGGGCCTGGTGGAGGGTAGTGGAGCCTGACAGGGAATGTGTTATGTCTAATGGGAGTTTTGGGGTGGTATTAAAATTTAGCTGGCTTGCGGTTAAACTGATTAATTTGCACAGTCTATTAGTCCCCGCAAGAAGATGTCTACGTTTACAGCGTCAGGTGCAAAGAATCCTAAGAAGCAGGAGTACTTTGAGAGGCTTCGTAACCTGATTGGGTCGCATAGTCAGATAATGATTGTTGAGGCTGACAATGTTGGTTCAAAGCAGATGGCTGATGTGAGATTTGCGTTGCGTGACCGTGCGACCATTTTGATGGGCAAGAACACGATGATTAAGACCTGTCTGCGGGCCATGGTAGAGGAGCGTCCTGAGTTGGAGTCGCTTATTGAGTTGGTGAAGGACAACATCGGTATGGTTTTTTGTAATGAGGAACCGGCTGCCATTCGCAAGACCATCCTTGAATTCCGCGTTCCGGCCCCGGCTAAGCAGGGTTCGTTGGCCCCCTGTGATGTGTACATTCCCCCTGGCCCTACCGGTATGGACCCGGGTCAAACGTCCTTCTTCCAGCAACTGGGTATTCCTACCAAGATTGTCAAGGGTCAGATTGAAATTCAGAATGAAGTGCACATTGTCAGCGTCGGTGAACGCGTCTCCGCATCCCAAGCTGTACTGCTGAGTAAACTCAGCATCAATCCTTTCTCGTATGGCCTCAAGACCGTCAGCGTCTGGGACAACGGCTCCTCCTACCCTGCCAGTGTTCTTGATATCTCTCAGGAAGACGTCGAGACCGCTCTCAAGACCGCTATCAATCTCGTCGCACAGACCTCTCTTGGCGCTCTATACCCCACCAAGTGCTCTGCACCCCACTCCATTCTCAACGCATTCAGGCAGTGCGCCGGAGTCGGCATCGCCACCGACTTCATCTTCCCTCAGATCGAAGCACTTAAGAAAGCGCTCGACAACCCCGACGCCTTCGCACCCACTGCCGCCGTCGCTGCTCCCGCCGCTGCTGCTCCCGCTGCCACTGCTGCTGCCGAATCAGAAGCCGAGTCGGAAGATGACGACATGGGATTCGGACTCTTCGACTAGACACTTTTTCAGTTCAACTCAATATCGACTTGCCCCCAACACCGCACCTTCAATCGCTGCTTTGTCGCCACTGTTTCACCGTGCTCAAACGGACCCATATCTGTTTCACCGCAATGTTCTACGGCTGCTATATGCCCTGCCCTACCCTCCCTCACACTGCTCTGGCGGGCGCCGGCTGAGCGAACCATCCCGGACCGAAATAGAATATATGGCAATATGCGAAGCGCACGACAAGTCTCAGTTAGTCGATTTGAAGGTTCCTTTTCGCCTCTCCTCGTTTTCGCCAACGACTAACACAAGTCCCCGTCATGTGACCCACGGTTTATCTTTAACAACTTCCAGAAAGTGAACGACCGATCGATCGACCGACGGACCGACCGACGGAACAATCCACCATAACCCCCTCCCCCCCCCCCCCCCCC